CTGTGCAACGTATGTTGGTTTCGCGATGCCCACTTCAGAAGCTCTTCTCCATAAACAAGACCTTTCTCAAGTTGCTTGGTGGCACCAGAATCTGGTCCAAAAGATACAGTGCCGTCTATAATGAGAAGCATGCGATCAATTCGGTCCCCCTCTCGAATAATTATTTTATCTTTTCCGTATGTCACTGGAGTCAGATCGTCGCACATCGCTTTCAGCACTTTGTCATCTGTTTCTTTAAGGAGTTCTACCTGTATTTAGAGTTGATCAAAATTTAAACACAAAGCAAAGCAAGATTCATTCATCTATATAAGTTCACTGTTACAAATTAATTCCTTTGTAAATTGGACTAATGTCCTAACCTTTGTTTAGTGAATGATTATAAATTATAGATCTTAATTAATTAAAACGGATAAGAGTCCAATATATTATCGTGGCTTACAAGTGTCTTATCTATAAAGTGGGACTTATGAAGATTAGACCTTAAATGAGACTTGTAAGACCCAGTCGTGACCGAGCCACCAAATGAGACTTATACCTGATGGTTGGTCAAGGGAACTCATTTACTTGTTGGGCAGCCAAATTTTTTTTTTTTTCTTTCATAAATAATGTACATACGAAGAGAGAGAGAGAGAGAGAGAGAGAGAGAGAGAGAGAGAGAGACATACTTGTGATAGAATATTCAAGCCGAGAACGTGCTTTAGAGATTTTTGCATATACCAGGGAAGAACATTGAAAAGATTCTGTAGATCAGCATCTTTGAGCTCTTCCAATTTTGGAATTATGTTGCTCATGATTTCCTTCTTCATATCATCAGGAATGCCCTTTTTGGCCATCCACGCTTCTATATCAGACTCTTTTAATTTTATCTTCTGCCTTAATTCATCTGATTTGGTTTTCATATGAATATATGTCTGAAGGTACATTTCACGACAAATAGTAAATTAGAAGTGTATTTGAATTATCCAAAAAGTATATCTTTTAGGTATTCATTCAAATATCATCTCTGCAAAAAATACTTAAATCCAAAAATCAATTGACCAATCAATTAATGATTTTCATTTTAATGTTTTCATTGAAGCACTGTGTTCGTCTATTTTTTTGGTTAATAACAAATGCCTTAATGGTTTTCAATTTGTCTAATTTTTTGCAAGAATAATCTATGAATGATGGTTTCAAAAATAGAAAGTTTGGATAGTTGAAATAAAATTTGTATTGGACCCCACAACGTTACCACAAATAAAATTATTGGAGGAAACATTCAATAGAAGGGGATATATACTTACATAAGACAGAGGTTGGCCCCTGAAGATGAAGGAAAATAATTTAAAGTAAACTAAATAGATATCTAACATAGAGATTCATTACCAACCTGAACATTTCCAATGAGATATACAAATAGGAGCATGCCAGTGATAGAAATTAGAATTGCAAACAAGTTTTCCCACACATAATTACTTGTTGTGAGACTCGTGCCAAAGTTGCTGCAAAAAGTTAGTAAAGGATCAAGCAAAATGTGAGATACTAATAAATGGCAGGATAAAGTAACACATATTTGGTTTTCTAACTTTCCATCTTCTATTAAGCTTTTGTATGATCAGAGAAATTTAGAATTCTTAAAAGGATCCTCCTTTCAAACATTAAAATAAAACGAGTAGTCATTTAATATACAGTGGTAATTAAGAAAATTCACAACCCATATCAATAAATTAAAACCATTACTTCATTTACTCGCAATGCAAACAATATGCCACATCAAGTGGTATAAAAATGCAAACAATATTGTTCTTTTTTGGAAAGTACTTGGAAATATATCATTTATTAAAAAGAAAATAAAGGGAATAGGACACTGTTTTGTTACCTTTTTTTTAATGTTATGGTATTCAAAATATATTTCTTTGATTAGTAGGGAATACGAAATAAAATGCTGAAATTTTCAAATAAATATGTGCAAACCTTAGATTTTTTAGGCCCCACCAGAAAGAGTAGCATAACTTGGTTGGAAAATGCCCCATGTTACCAAGCTTAAAGGAATCCAGAAATATTCCATAATCAAACGGCAGCTTAGTATTATCTGGAACATCTATACCGCAAAATTCATTAAAAAATGTGAGATTTGCTGTAGAAGTATTGTGATCACCATCACAATAAAAGGTACTCATGCATCCTTCATGATCATTATATTTTTTACAAGCCCAATACCAACATGAAGTCTTTCGTTGAATGGAAAAGAAGTACCAAAAGGCTCCAACAACCTAAAAGACAACAACATACTCTTTATTTAATTGATAGATATAATCATTAATGATTGATATGATACTTAATTGAGAGAGAAAATGCATTGCCTCCTACAATAATTCTACTTGATCACCAGTCACTTTATCAAGCATTTATCGATTACCAAAATAATACGTATTAAAATGAAATGATATGGAAAGTGAAACTTACATGGCTAGCAAGAATGTATAGAAACAAATTGAATAGGGCTTTGATATGTATTCCAATAATCCCAGTAAGTTCCTTGGATGTTGAGATAATTAGATAAATCCTTGGCAAATACTGGCTGAGAAGAAAAAAGTTGGCAACCAGTCTACGTTCTAAAAATCTCTGCCCTCTCATTTGGTAAAAACCCTTTACTACTAGAACCTGGACAAAATAATGAATAGAAAAAGGGGTTAGATGTCCATATTAATTAAAGCTGGATAAACGTGGGAAAAATTTGAATTTCTTTTATATTACCTGTGGCGTGGGAAAAACAGAGAGAAGGTCAATCAGCAAAGAGCCCCACTGCAACGTCGTAGCTAATATCGCAGCAAATGAAACTATCTCATCTCTTCTCATTAACGTCATCTGCAAATCCAATTCCCACTCCGATTTTTCTTTGTTGATCTCCTTGTAGGCCTTATTAATATCTTCATAGATTTGATATCCAATACGCACCAAGAAAGTGATATCCGTGAGAGATCGCAAAATCAGAGCCACATTCCTCAACTTTTTGTCCATTCCAAGGCATTTCTTTTCCTCATCGATGAATGGAATGTATAAGAACAAGGGATCCAGGGAAATTGCAATAACACATGAAATTACAACCATCTTGTTCCAGAATGAAAGATGTGTTCTTTCCCATTTCTTTTTTAAAAATTCTCTGACTTTGGATGAGAGACATCGTGCCAGTTTACCTGGTGTGTCGCTAATCAAAAGAAAAGTGCGATCAGAAAATTGAGGATAAGTCTAGACTTAACAAATTAGAGTATATCTAACTCAAAATCAAATGACAAGTCAATTAAAATACATTACGATATCGTAAAAAGTGAGATGATACTCAGTGGGCCACGCCAAATAATCATCTTATATTATTAAACGGTTACATCTTGCAAAAACTAACCTTATGATTTTGGTCAGATGATCAACAGGGCGCTGTAGAGACATAACTTCAAGAGCATACAGAAACTTACAGAAGCCTTTGAACGTAGATAGTGAGAGAGATTACATATATTTATTTCAGGAAATTAAGCTTCAACTGATAAACACACTTACCAAGCTATTTACTGGATGCAATGACAAGAGGATAAGAGAATAGGGATGATCTTTTTTTCCTGTTTCCTTTTTTGGTTCTCTTTTGGGTCAATAAAACTTCATCAGAATCAGATGAAGAGAATAAGGACGTTCTGTGAGGGGAGAGGGTTATTCTGCTAGTCAATTAAAAGCTGTGGGCTTACTAGGCAATTTCGTGAAGTTTATAAACAGGGGCAATGAGTTCTGTTTACTTTCGTTGACTGACCAAGACTCTGTTTTCTGACCAAAAATAAAAGAAGAAAAAATGGACCTAGACTTCGCTTGTGGACTGATTGATTACTGACAAGACCTCTTTTCGCAACGGTTTTTTTCTGAAAAAAAAAACTATTAAAAATAGAATGGCTGAATTTTGTTAGAGAGATGGTGTTATTTTGGTTAGAGACGGAACTGAAAAAACAAAACAAAAAACAAAGGGCTGGTTTGGCTGACCTGTGCAGTCGAAGGAAGAAGAGAAAAAAAAATCAAGTGGAATTGTTTTTTTTTTCTTTCCTTTTTTCAGGGCTAACATTGTTAAGTTTAGGTTAAGTTGGAGGAATACATGTCAAAAGAATAAAGTAGGGAACATAGGGTATATGGTTTTGGGGATAGCAGATCCGAACTCATATGTATTTTCATTCCGTATTTTATGGTGTTTACAACTCAAAACTTGCTTGATTCAAAAAAGCCTATTTTCCATTAGAAAGAAGGAAAAAAAACCTCTCCATAAAGAAACTACGCATATCAAGTATCAACGTTATCAATGACAAACTTGCCCAAGGGGGATTGTTGGAGTTGGAAAGGACCACAAAAATACTTAAAATTTTAACTAAAGTAGGAAAAAGAAAATTCAGTTAAGAATAATAAAATAGAAAAATAAACTTTTGAGAATTTAACCTTTAAAAAAAAAGACACGTGTCAGTTTGTGGTTGAACCACATTATTAGACAAGGAGGGAAGCATTATCCTTTAAAAAAAGAAAACCAAGAAAAGAAGAAAGAATGAGCCTTGGATGATTGACTACTACTTTCGGAGCCTTGGATGATTGACTACTACTTTCGGATAGAGAATAACTATCATGCAAGAATGTGAACGTGACATGATAGGCTTAATATTCAATTTGATATATATAGTGCATGCATAATGCATGGCATAACCCATATGTTCATAAAGCTTCATTGGTCGTGAAGACTCGAGTCACAATCACACGGGCCAAAGCTGCTCAGTGCTCACTACTAAGACTAGAGACATCAATTTTTTTTTTTCACGAAATGATTGTCTTCTATTCATGGATTGAACCATTCACAACATATAAGTAAAGTAATTGATAAGCAAATCATGGATGGTGCATCGCCCTAAGTTGCACATATATGTTTACAAAACAACTTGCAATACATGATGACCTCGTGCATCACACCAGTCATATATAGCGTAATTGGCTTGGATAGCAAACGTTGCAACACGAATTAAGAATAAAGGAAGTGCTAGCAAGCCAAATCTCATGATCTCAAATAAATAAATAAAATGGAATAAGAAGATAATGTTATAAAATAAGAAAAGAGACAGGTTGAGAAAAGGAAGAGAGAGAAGTTATTAATGCTGCTGGGTTGGTAAAAGGGTAAAACAGGCAATTCAAGTTTTTATTATACCTCTCAGGAATATGCAGAGATGGACCTATTAAGGCGCAAGGAGATGCTACACCTTCTCTCGTAGGAAAAATCATTGTAGGTGCTTGAAATTGCCCATTTGCTCAACCGGTGTACAGATTACTCAGTAAATGTCTTTGTCCTTTTACTTTTATTTATTTTTATATTACTCAATTTACTTAAGTTTACAAAGTAAAGAAGGAAGTACCTCCCATTTGGATTCAAATAAAAATACTAGAAAATCAAATTCCCACCAAATCAAACTATGAAAATTCGGTTTTAGTGCAAAATACGATTTAGGCTAAAAATGATGGCTCATTAAGTCAATATATGCTTCATACTAAAATCCCATAAAATCAAGTTTTCTTATTTGATGTGTAAGGAACAAAAGCCGCCAAAAATTATCTTGAGAAAATGATTATTTCGAAAAACTATTTTTCATACTTAGTCAATATTGCATCTTCGTTAAAAAAATTTCTGGGTCTGCTAGTGGCAATATGTTTAGGATTTTTTGGAAAAATAAACAAACTACTAGGGGTTGTGGTTCTTAGCATTCCTCTTTATTTTATGCTCCAAGCATTAGAAAAATGTGACTCAATTCTACTGGTCTATTGTTTACATCATATTACTGTATTGTTGTACTGACATATATATGTCAAATGATTCATGAGTCACTCATATGATTGGGTTCGAGGGAACACATGGTCCTCCAACATCATTACAAATTCGTGCGTGTTTGTGCTTGATAAATCACGGTCATGAACTGGCCGAAGGAGCCCCTTTCCTTGGCCCTTGCACTTGCCCGTAAGACTGAAAACGCAGCGTTTTGCCGAGATGCTTGGCCTTCCAGAGAAACAAGAGAAAAATTGCTAAGGCATGATCATCTCGGCCTCAATTACAGGCCGAGGCTGAGGCCGAACAAAGTCACGGCTGAAGGCATTAAAGTCAGATCATCACGTGACAACAGGGCCCCATGCTTCATTTAATGAAGCAAGGCCTTTGTTTATTGCAGCAAACCCACTGGCCACGAATAAGCATTTAATGCACGAGGGAAGGTGGGAAGTGACTGGAGTCAAGATTTGGTGACAGGGATCAGAGTGATTAGACGCCAACATTCTCACAAAGCTTTTTGCAGCTTGAGAGATTAGGTGACTAGCCATAAGAACAATAAATGTGTCTCCACGGCCAGAAGTGCAGAACCCACGATCAGGGCGGCGGCCGAGATTCACGGGGATTTATGGGGTCACACCACCATGCTTCACGATCCCAAATGTCGATTGGACTACCCACTTGCGCTAATCAGGCTTCGCCATGCAGATTTTCAGCCTCGATTACTCCTCCAGGAACTCTTCCTATAAATACAAGACTCAAGACCACATTCAAAGGGTTCAAACACCAAACCAAAGCCTCCCACGGAGCAACTTATATTTTCCTGTAATGCACTTTCAATATTTTACTTGTTTTTCTAGGAGTAGTGTTAGCTTGTAAGGAAAATCAATTCATCAATATATCATACGACCCTTGATTTTCAAGGCGCCGGAGCACCATCTTTGTTGTCCACTCACTCACCCCATATATCATACGACCGTCGCTCACTGAGCAGCGCGCCGGAGCACCGCCCTAAACCCACCATCAACACTACCACTAAACGGCCTTGTAGCTCAGGCCGTGAACCTGACGGCCGAGATTAGTTCCTCTCTCGGCCACAATCGTTTGATTAAAAATCAAGTCCAAACAAGCGCACCATTTCACCACTTCCATCCGAACCACATCTCGACGCACGGTAGACCGTGCTGGCACGCCCGCGCACAACCGCACCGTACCCAAAAGCAGGAAGCCGCGTGTCAACGCATATCCCCTCGGCCTGGAATTCCAGGTCGTGGAATTTGCGCGGCAGACACTTTTGGCACGCCCGGTGGGATACTTGTCAAAAACTTATGGTGGAAACTAGGGCACAGGCAAAACTCAAAAACAAAGCAGTCGAAATGACTTCTGAGTCTCCTAAGTTCACCCCGCCAATCACTATCACCGAGACCGAACATTCGGTCGGGATCTCGGCCAGTGTTCCAGTAATGAAGGATCGCACGGCCGAATCCATGCAGGAACAGGCAGTAGTAGAGGAGCTGATGTCCAAGTAGGCCTACATGATAGAAACATCCTTCATGGCCGCAATGGACAGATTCTCCTCGGAGCTACGAACGCTTTTCCAAGAGAGGATGCCGGCAACCTCGCCCGTGAAGCCTCCTAGAGCCGGACAAAGGGGGCAAGAACGCGAGAGAATCGAGCCTTACGGCGAAAGCAGCAGCCTCGGCATCGCTGCCCACACCCAAGCATCAGGTTACGGCCAGCATTCTTTGCCGCCAACAAATAGCTGGGGGCAGTCCCAGCCCACATGGGCGAGTCCTGGACCAACTTACTTCGCAGAGACAGCGCGCGGACCACTCCATGCTTTGGCCGTATCACTAGGGCATAGCAGCCTCGCGCATCCCGCGATCCATCCACTCGGCCCAGTTCATACTGCGGCCGTCCACACGCATCCTGGTAAAGGCAACACGACCGCTGTATCATCACAACAGTACGGTCAGAGTAATCTGACCGTCTCGCCACCACTGCAGGCGTCATTGTTTCCGTCGGGCTCTCATCTTCACTACGGGTCGGCCGTTCCAGCGTTAACGCACACGCACCTGGTCCAAACCCACGGCGCTCATCTGGCGTCAACCAGCTCAGTCATTCCGACCGAGCCCCTTGTTCAAACGGCCCCGCAGACAAAGCCACAGAACGACGTCCAGCAGGTCCCACGGCCGTATGCGGCCCAGCAGGAGGCACTGCCTCAGGGGCTCCGATTCGAAGACGTCCGGAGGATGATCGGGGACGGCCTAGCCCAGAGGCGGCCGGACACGCCGAGATATACAAGGCCGTACCTGCCAGAAATCGACCGAATCCCTCTTCCCCGAAACTATCGTTTGCCGGAATTCATGCTATTCTCCGGGGATGGGCAGACCTCCTCCATTGAGCACATAGGCCGTTTCATGGCCCAGTGTGGAGAGGCCGATTCGGACGCCCAGAAGCTCCGTTTATTTGTTCATTCTTTGACCGGTGCGGCGTTCTCATGGTTCATAAACCTCACGCCAAACTCAGTAAGAGATTGGTCTGATATGGAAAGAATATTCCACGAACATTTCTATCAGACCAACCGAGAGATAACGGTCGCCGAGCTGGCAAGGATGAGCCGGACATCAGACGAATCTCCTCGTGACTACCTGCAGCCGTTCAAAACGTGCAGGAACTGGTGCCGCACGAACCTACCAGAGAGGGAGTTTGTCAAGATGGCCGAAGAGGGCTTGGAATTCGAGTACCGGAAGAAATTCCAGGGAATCGAATTCCGAGACATGCATGACTTGACGAACAAGGTGGATCGATATGCGTCCTTGTTAAAAGAAGAGATGCAGAAGAAGATGGCCTCAAAAGGGACCTACTACAGGAATCCCATCGTAAGCTATGCCGA